AATTACTTATCTTTGTTTCATTGGGATTTTTTTCTGAGGTTTTGTCTTATTTTTCAATTTTGAACATATTCCTCTGTCTCCTCATTTTGTTTGAATTTCACTCTTTGTTTCTATGAGCAGCTGCCACTCCTGGTCCTCAAAGATTGACTTTATGTAGGAAGAAACGTTGTATAGTTTGTGTGTGTGTGTGTGTGTATATGGCTTTGTGGGCAAGCAGGACAAGGGTGGGTGTGGGCTAACGTGTCCCAGGGGATGCAGCTCCGGGGTGGCACTGACTGGGTAAATAAGTCGGGCTGGAGTGGGATGAGGTGATGTAAGGTCTGTGGCTCTGGGACCACCCTGGCAGGGCAGCTGGTGAGGTGACTGGTTGGAGCTGGAATGAATGTGGGACAAGGTGGCTTCAGGTGTGCTCCGGCAGAGCAGGGTTTGAACTAGAGTTGGCAGAGGCTCAGATGTTTTTGGGTGGTGGCTCTGGGGAAGCCTTGATAGCATGACTGGCTGTAGCTGGAGGCAGTGTGGGCCAGTGGCCTGGGGCATGCTGGGGTGGTCTTGCTGGTTGGCTAGGGTGTTTGAACTGAGGTCCCAATTACTTTATCCAGGTGGAGAGGAAGATAAATAATGGTGCTCTACGGCATCTTAGATCCTGGAGCATTTCAGCAGTTCCCCACCCGTTTAGCAGGCCCTGTAGGGTTAGTAAATTGATTTCCTTCAATACAGTCTCAGTGCCCTTTACACTGATGTGTTTTCAATGTGCCCCTCAGCAAGCAAACTGCACATGGGCCCCACTTTAAGTCCCCACTACGACAGGTCTTCATGTTTGGTGTGGGGCTTCCATCTTTACCATGTCTCTGTCTTCTACCTTCTTTATGTGGTCCCTCTATCATTTGTTGTGCAGAAGCTGTTCAATCATCCCTCACTTCTTTAGGAGGAACTGCTCTATATGGAGCAGTATATTTATCATGTCTCTTGGAAGAAGAACATTCAAGGTCTTTATACACTGCCATTTTTGACCTACCTCATCCTCCATGATTTTTCTTTATTGTAGTAGTAATGCATGCAGGTTTACATTTTCTTTCCAGTTGACATAGACATGTAACAAAAAAATGATCAAAGTCTTCTTTAATCTTATTCTCCAGAAGCAATATCTTGTTTGAGTTTTTTCTAAATTATTGTAATAGTTATGGGTATTGATTTGAATAATAAGCTTATATTGTGCTCTTTAATTTTTCAATATTAATAACAGAATCAATCAACTTCCCATAGAATATGTAAAAAATTTAGGGTATGGTCAAGATTGTGGAATGATCAAACTGGGAATTTATATAACTGTGATTAACATGCTAAGGACTCTAATAGAAAACGTGGACAATATGCAAGAGCAGATGGACAATATAAGCAGAAAGATGGAAACTCTAAGAAAGAGGTAATGGTAGAAATAAAAATATGGTATCAGACTGAAGAACACCTGTCGTGAGCTCACCAGTAGACCTGATACTGCCTTTGTCGAATCAGAGCACCTTAAGACATATTAACAGGAACTTCCTAACTTAAAATACAAGATAAAAGAATACTGAAAGAACAGGAACAGAATGTTCATAAACTGTGGAATATTTACAATAGTTTTAACACACATGTAATGGGAATGTCATAGGAGGAAGAAAGAGAAGAAACATGTGAACTAATAATTACTGAGAATTTTCCAAGTATTGACAGATACCAAATCACAGATTCAGGTAGCTCAGAGAACACAACGCAGGATAAATGCAGAAAAAAAGAAAGAAAGAAAGAAAGAAAGAAAGAAAGAAAGGAAAGAAAGAAAGAAAGAAAGAAAGAAAGAAAGAAAGAAAGAAGAAAGAAAAATGCAAACTGAAAAAGTCAATTCATTTTGAAAGGCAGAGAAACTATTCTATATGATACTATAATGGTAGATACAAGATATTCAGCATTTGTCAAATGCATTGAATTATACAACACAAAGAGTGAATGCTAATGTAAACTATGGCCTTCAACGTATAATAATGTATCCACATGGGTACATCAAAGTTAATAAAAAAGCCACATGAATAGAAGGTGTTAGTAATAGGAGAAATTGTGTGGGAGAGTGGATGTGGGGGGAGAGGAAGTATATGGGAACCCTCTGTACTTTCTGTGCAATTTTTCTTTAAATCTAAAAGTGCTCTAAAATATCAAATTCTATTAAAATGAATAAATAGGGAAACCACTGACTGGATGAATATTTGCGATATACATAACTAACAAGGAACTCATTTCCCATATATAAAATCTCCTACAAATAAATGAGGAAAAAAGAGAAATTCAACAAAAATGGGCAAACTTAGACACTTCAAAAAAAAATAGAAGTACAAAGTAAGCACATGAAATCGTGCTCCATTTCATTAGTCATATAGGGAATGCAAATCAAATACAAGGAGATATCACTAGTACGTTCATTGGAATGAGTAAAATTCAAAAGACTGGCAATACTATGTTCTTGGGAGCACATAGACCAACTGAACCTTGTATAGTTTTTGGTGGGAATGTGCAATAGGACAACCACAATAGAAAGAGAGTTTGGCAGATTCTCATATAATTCAGCGTACGTCTTCCTATGACCCAACAATTTCATTTCAGCTCATTTAACCAAGGAAATGAAAACATATGTCCAGAAAACAACTTGAATAAGAATGTTCACCGCAGCTTTATTCACAACAGTTACTTATATATGGAATGCTACTTATATACTGAAAATATGAAAATAAACTGGTGCACTTATACAATGAAATAGTACTCAACTTTATACCGGGGACAAAATACTGACATATGCAATACAATGATATGGGTAAATCCCCAAAAATATTGCCCTGAGTGAAAGAAGAAAAGAAGAAAAAAGTACACTTTATGATCCTGAATACATAAAGTCAAAGGTCAGGCAAAACAAATCTTTGATGACAGAAGTAGAAACAAAAGTTGCCTCTGTGGCAGGAGGAATGACTGGGAGGGACACAAGAGAACTTTCAGGGGTGATGAAAATAAGATATGTCTTGATCAGGGCTTGAGTCACCTGAAAGTATCATTGCCCAAACTCAATGAAGTGACGATCTGTGCAATCACTCTCAATTATGCATGTATTAAAACATGTATAAAAGGGAAACATTTAAACTTCATATATTTCTTTATGGAATATGTAACTGAAAAATGTTCATCTGTAATAAGATTAATAAATGTTGAGAAGTGTTTGCATAAAAGGAATGTTTGACATAGAATCTGTCCTCAGAGAACATAGAGTCCTGTAAGACCCATTGGAAACCTGACACGAAGGACTGGAGAGTCTCCAGAAAGGGCCAGTCAGGGCAGAGGCAAAGGGTTGGAAAGAGAGGGAGCACGAGGGATTCTACCGGAGGGCACGTGAAAGGTAACACTGGATGACAACGTACCTGAAACCTTAAATGTGCTTTGACATTGATTTATCTGGTTATAAAATGTAACTTGATCCTTGCAAAGATTGAAAATGGTGAAAGCAATAGGCTTAAAGATGATGACTCATATCAAGCCTGAAAACACAGACTTGAGTTGAAACTCACCATTTGTTCTTCAGTGATTCATTTATGCAGTCAACATTTATTATGCTAGGGAGCTTTCCTAAGGCCTGCCAAAAACAAAGAACGCTGCCATGGAAGCTTGTCAAAATGTAATGTTCTTTTAAGTTCTGTCAGCTTCAGTGATCAAAGAAATTTGGTCTTTCCTGCACTACATTCAGCTTCTGCTGAAGGTGGGATTCTTCAAAAGTGGGCACAGTCCTGGACTCCAGTGCTGGCAGAGCTCCCAAGGGGTGGGGTGAACGCCCTGGGTAGGGCAGTCCTGAGACACTGCACCCAAGGTGTGTCTAACAGGCACAGTCTCGCTTAATCCTCATCAGCGGGATTATTATGTTCATTGTTTTAATTCAGAGGCCCAGGGACTGAGAGACTTAAGAAACCACCCAACCTGGTTGGGACAAAGTTGGTTCTCTAAACCCCATGTGTATGAATAAAGCAAGACTGAATCAGGATGGCAGGCTGCTTCCCAACATCTCCACGGTTTTCTGAGGAAGACTTCCTCCATGTTCAGCCCCATCAGGAAAGTCCTGCAGAGCCCTTTGGAGAACCAGCATCAGGGTCTGCTTTCGTTTCCTCCGTTGATGCCTGAAGGAGCCAACGAAGAAATAAATAATGGGGTTGGCACTGCTGTTGACACAGGATAGCACACATAAAACCAGGCTAAGAGGAAAGGAGTACACATCTAAACCATTCTTAATCCAGAGTAGGAGGAACCGGAGGATACCCCAAGGCAGGCCACAGAGGAGGAAGACCAGCACTGTGAGCAGGACAGTCACATACAGCCTGGTCAGCTGCACCCGCTGGGAGCCACACAGCAGTCTGGTGACCAGGGCCAGGTTAGACCCTGAGAGAAGCACAAATAAGAAAATCAGCCACCCAACAATGAGGAAATCAAATGCCTGACACCAATCTTGGTCACGATTCCTAAACAGGAAGCCACAGTAGTTCCCTTCCAGGATGCTCAGCAGCAGGCACACCGTCCAGATCAGGGCACACAGGACAGCCGACATGTGTGTGGGGCGGTGGCAGCGGTACCAGATGGGCCACAGGACAGACAGGCAGCGCTCGGTGCTAATGGCACTGAGAAGGCTCAGGCCTGTGATGTAGGCAAAGGTGAACACAACGACGTCAGAGGGCAGTACGCCAATGGAGGCGTAATGGAAGTAGTAGATGAGTGTCTTCAGGGCAAGTATAATCTGCCAGCAGAGGAAAAGGAAGTCGGCTCCCGCCAGGTTGAGGATGTAGACAGAGAAGGCGTTCCTCCGCATGCGGAAGACCAGGAGCCACAGCACCACCGCGTTTCCTGCCAGTCCAATCAGGGAAATGATGATCATCAGCGAGACTGAGACCGATATCCCAATCATGAAATTTTTTGTAAGCTTCTGGTCACTTCTATTCATTGGCCTAAGTGTAGTCCCGCAGGCTGCGACCGTTGCATTCATGCTCGGAAACCCTCCACTGCTGCCACTAGAACAGAAACGAGACTTGAGCACCTGCTGTATGCTCTCTGACTCTCACGGCCACCCTGCTACAAGAGAATTACTGTCCCTGTGTCACAGAGGAGGGAAATGGAGGCTTGCAGAGGTTAAGATACTTTCTGAAGGGCACACAGTCTTGGAATCACAGATCCTGGATTCAAACCCAGTTCTCTCTGAGCTTAAAGCCTGGGCTCTCTCTACTGCAACACGGACCCTGTACTGACATGGGAATAATCTATGGTCCGAACACCTCTCCTCAGAGACTTTAGTCACGACATGCCTCCTGTAGCAAATGAGACAAGCATGGACAGGGTATGTGGGATGACAACAGGACTGAGCATTCTTTCTGCCCTGGAACTGAGATTTCCTTTGAGGGCAGGAAGTTCGAGCCCAAGGCATGATCTATGGGCTACCTCGGTGACTGAGAGTGTCTGTCCACCAGAAAGGAGATCATGATTTAGGGTCATGAAGAGAATGTGACCTCTTGCTTTTAGAGGTTGGAATATGGCCAGGGCTCCAGATGGCCCAGTGTGTCAGCTTTATGTGGCCGCAGAGATCCAGGGAGTTGAAAACCCTAAATCATCCTCCTTCTGCTGCTCTCCAGTCCCCTACCGGTGTCTCCTTTCCACTGAGAGCAGCCAGGAGCCAGAGGTGTGCCTTGTCCATCGGTCTGCCCAGTGCTTAGCTATGTGTGTGGGACACAGTTTAAGAAACTCTTATAATGGGTTTCTTTCTAGAAAATCCAAAATCATAAACTTAAAATATTTATAAATACCTGTGTAACCCCAGATTTTAAAAAAATCTACATTCCGTTCACAGGCATTTATGATGATAGTGAAATATTATTCCAAAAAAGTAAACCAATAGGGAGGTACAACCAGTGAAACAAGCAAACTAAGGAGATACAATGAGAAATTGATCCAATAATATTGATACAAAATCCCAGGAAAAGCAACTGTGAAGAAGCTATAAGAAGACATGGATTTTCTCCTATGACATCAATTATGACAAATCACATTTCCATTTTCTCTGCTCTCTTCTGTGTCTGGGGAGGAGACGTCTCTGTGTCTCATGGGTGGGCTCCCGTTCCCTCTGGCTCCTGCTTCCTTTCAGTGAAAAGGAGACACTGGTAGGTGGCTGGAGAGCAGGAGGGGAGGGATTTAGGGCTTCCAACTCCCTGCTCTCTGCTGCCAGGCTGTGACTTGGCAGTGGCTTTGTTGCTCTAACTAAGGACTTAGCCCTGTGTGGTGGCCTTTCTTACAGTCATAGTGACAGCTCCAGCTACACCCATCCCCCACCCTGAGTTCTGGTAACTTCTCCTTCCCTCTCCCCATCAGGACACACAATGGTAACACCTCCCTATTATGAATTCTTTTTTGGGGCCTCTGCATCCTTTATAGATTTCCCTAAGCCCTGTCTACATGGTTATACACAGTCCCTCTATTAAATTCTCCTCAATTACAGCCTTAGATTGGCCCTGTGTTTTCTGCAGGAACAAGCCAGATACAAAGATACAATAAGAAACAAAGAAAGAAACAAACAAACCCATTGAGCAGCAAGCAGGTCTGTGAAAAGTGAGGTTATTAACAACAAATTTACTTGCTATCCTGTTGCTTAAATTAAAATCAGTGAAACATTTCTCTCCGTAGTGGCAGATTTGAATGTTTGGAGAGAAAGAGAGAACTAGGGAGATAGAACAGAAGCAGAAAGATCCTGGATGGCCCCGTGTGGACATCCATAGTTTAAGCTCCCAGCACCCAAAGCTTTCCTGAGGGAGCTTCATGTTGCTGACTGTCACTGATGGGGCCCATAGCTCCCTGTCTTCCCCTCCCCAAGATGAAATCCTAGCATGTGGACTAAGAGTGAGAAAACAACACTGCCTTTGAGAGAAGACAGCTGTGAGCCAACTCTTACCTTAGCACCATCTTCTCGTTGGGGGTGGTGAGTAGAAAAGAAAGAGCTCTCCTGGGACACAAACAGCAGAGAATGCTTCTCTACCCTCTGGATAGGAGGTGCCTGCAGGAGCAGGAGTGAAATCTTGTGACTAAGAGAGGCTTATCAAGATGCTGGACAGTCCCTGTGATTTCGTGCGCAGGGGGCACTGACAAATGAGATTCTGGAGATGTGTGAGAAAAGGACCTCACGAGACATTTCTCGTTGGCCCTGACTCCAATCACTTATCTCGGTCTCTCCCCATCCTTCCTGACAGCCCCACGCTCCCTATGAGGAATAGTTGACTGGTACATTTTGCTGCCCACTGTGAGCCTGTGCAGGAAGTCCACCCACCAGGCAATGTGAGATTCCACAGCTAAAGAACACTGTGCTTGGCATTCAGGGCCCTCCATGACGTGGCTCACCTGATCTCTTTACATTTGCTCACAGAAGTAAGGCATGCACATTCATTTTATTGCAGAAGACACCAAAGTATTTAAAGTGAAATAGAAAGCCTATCTCTTTCTTATTCCCCAATAGGAACCAATGTTTACAGTTTCCATTTTTGCTTTTTTACCAGTTATATTACAGCATTGCATAATCAAACTATATTTCTAGTTTTGATTTATCAGTATCAACAATAGAGTTCATTGAGTTCCCTCATAAAGGATAAGAAATTTAGCATAGCACACACACTCTCTGTTGCCTTTCTTCTCTCTACTTATGATATTTGTTAGCTAGATGGTTGTAGATGACCTAGGGACAGCTAGTATTTGCAGCCTTAGCTCCTATGACTTCTTTTCATGTGCCCACGATGCAGCCAAGTTCAGTTACTTGTCATTTCCTTTAAAATTTAACTATAAAGCATACAAATTAATCAGAAAGACTTATTTACTCATTTCTGCATTGGCCCAGTACTACTGTGTACCTGTGCTGTGCCAGGCACTGTTCCAGGCAAGGAAGATGCAGTGATGAATAACACACAGGACTATGCTCGGGGATTCCAGAGGAGCTGGGTGTGCTCACTCTGGGAGTAAGTGTTGATGGAGAAGGGTTTGGAGACTCAGCATTAGGGCCTCTACACCCCAGACCTCTGGAAGAAGAGAGGACCCAGCCAACTCTGTAGTAAGAAGCAGGTCCTGAAGGAAGGGTAATGAGGAGAGCACAGTGTCCTGAGACTGAACTGAGAGACCAAATCTAGCAGATGGGAGTGAGCAATAGTCTCAACCCTCCCTGAGGCACTGAGTGAGATGAGGTCTAATAATTGACCTTAAAATACTCAGTATAGAGTCATTGCCGATGGTGACAGGTGTGGCTCCAGTGGATGGTGTGGCTGGAAGATTGAAAGGGTGGAATTAGGAGAGATTGGCAGGTGGTGTGATAGACCACCTGGAAACCCTAGAGAATCAAAGGACAATCAGCACAGCGAAAGACAGCTCAGGAACATGGCTGGGTCCAAAATTCCTCTACAGGAAACAATAGCTTTCTCATATAATAGAAAAAAAAAGTAAGAAGACGTAATAAAATGTATCCTCAATTTACACTGGAGTTTATAGAAAGCCATGAGGATTTACCTGACCTCATATATATGAGAGGCTATTCCAAAGTGTCAGGGAAAGAACAGTGAACTGCTAACATAAAACACGCAGAGTGATCAGTGGAGCAGGGTATAAAGTCTCAGGAATCAAACAGAGTTCATGTGGATTCAGTCTATGATGAAGGGGTTATTTCAAATGAGAGGGTATAGGGATGGACTATTTAATAAATGTTATTGGGCAACTGGAAACTACCTAGAATAAAATAAAGCAGGACTCATAACATGCATCTTTTAGCCTGTGATTTTTCAAATGTATTGTATTTTTAAATAAGAATAAGGAAATCATATAGAAGTAAAAGAAAATGTGAGAAAATTGTTTTGTAACCTTGAATGGCAGGTCTTCCTAACTGCAACACAGAGGCCATAAATGAAAATTTGATTAAAAAACTATTCAAAATTAAAAATAATTTTTCTTTGGAAGAGGCCGACACTTGCAAGTAAAACAGCTGCAAAAATATTTATGATGCATAGTTTTGATAAAATACTAATATAATGCATAATATACACACACACACACACAGGCACGCACACAGACACATATACACATACATACTCTCACACACAAGGTCTGACAATTAAGTTCAGGAATTTGTTGCAACGATGTTGCTAACCTTTTTTGATATCAGAGAGATTATTCATTATGAATTTGTACCAACTTGACAAATGGTTAATCAGATTTACTATTTGGAAATGCTAAAAAGGCTGTGTGAAAAAGCTGGACGACCTGAACTTTTTGCCAACAATCCAGGATCTTGCATCACGACAATGCACCAACTCACACGGCACCGTCTGTGAAGGAGTTTTTAGCCAGTAAACAAATAACTGCATTGGAACACCCTCCTTACTCACCTGATCTGGTCCCCAGTGACTTCTTTCTTTACCTGAAGATAAAGGAAATATTGAAAGGAAGACAGTTTGATGACATTCAGGACATTAAGGGTAATGCAACGACAGCTCTGATGGCCATTCCAGAAAAAGTTCCAAAATTGCTTTGAAGGGTGGACTAGTCACTGGTGTCAGTGCATAGCCTCCCAAGGGGGGTACTTCATAGGTGACCATAGGGATATTAAGCAATGAGGTATGTAGTAGCATTTTCTCTAGGATGAGCTCATGAACTTAATTTCAGACCTCACATATGTATCTCCTATACATTACTCAGGAAGAACCTTAACAACAAATAAGAAAATGACCGACTTGATTCCTAGATAACCCATGTTTCTTAAACATGACAAAAGAAAAATAATGCTAAAACATACTCAGGTGAGAAAGGGTAATTGAAACTCCACTGAGATATGTTCCCCTTTAGATTTCTAAATATCCAAAGGCC